GGCACGCACCTGTAATCTCAGTGTTGGGGAGACTGAGACAGGAGGCACCTGGTGGCCAGTCAATCTAGATGATTTGGTGAGCTCCAGTGTGAGATCCTGTCTTAAAAACTAAGGTGGAAGGTGATCAAGAAAGACACCTGGCTGGCACATAGTTTTAATCCCAGCACTGAGGAGGCAGAGGCAGAGGCGGGTGGATCTCTGTGAGCTGGAGGCCAGCATGGTCTACATAATGAATAGTAAATTCCAGGCCAGCTGGGGCTACAGGAATATCCTGTCTCAAAAAAAAAAAAAAAAAAAAATAGAGGATGTGGACGTCTGGCCTCCACACACACGTACATACATACACATACCTGCACACACATATACATAGACATACATTTGTACACAACAAATTAATTTAATGAAGGCTTAAAATTAAAAACTTTTTTTTTTTTTTGGTCCATTTTAGCCCCAGCTGTCCTGGAACTCACTATGTAGACCAGGCTGGCCTTGAACTCACAGAGATTCGCCTGCCTCTGCCTCCCAAGTGCTGGGATTAAAGGCGTGCACCACCACACCCAGCAAAAAAACAAAAACTCTATTTTACAACATATTTAGATATACAGAAAAATCGTGAAGATAGTACTGTTTCATATAGCCCTCATGTACTTTCCCCTATTACTAACATCTTATACTTAACACTTTAATTTTAAATTTTTTAAAGTTTTTTTTAACAAAAAAAAACCCCAAAACTTTATTGTTTTGATCAAATCCATGCCCACTTTCTCCCCTCCAACATCTCCCATATTCCCCCATCACTTTTTTCTGACAACTTCGTGTACACTCTTTCTTTCTTTTTTTTTGAATGGGGCTTTTTTCTACTCTAACATTACCCCTCTGAAGAGGTAACTCTAAAATCTTTTAGGGATTAGATAAGAACTCTCAAATACTTTTATACTTAACACTTTTATAAGTAATGAACCAATATTAATACATGGTTTAGGGGTTTTCTTAATTTAAATTATATCCTTGTTTGGAATTCTAAGATCCCATCCACGATCGGCTCATGTTTGTGATATTTTCTGACTTTCTTTGTTTTTGATTACCTTGCAGTTTTAGGTAATGGCCAGTATTAGGTAATAGCTATCCATTGCCTTTACCACTTGGCCACCTCATCCTCTGGCCAGTATTTTAATGAATGACCCTAACTGAGATTGCTGCTTGTCTTCTGGTTAGGTTGCAATATGTGGTCCTGGGAAGATCACAAAAATAAGGTGTAATTTTCTTTCATTTTCTTTGCGGGGGTGGGGGGGTGGACAGGGTCACCCTGTAGCCCCGCCAATCCTGGAACTTGCTATGTGACATGGAGGGTGGGGATGGCACAGCTAGATAGCAAGGGTTTAGAAGGAAAATATTTGTAAGATTAAAAATAAGGGACAGTAGTGTGTGGGTATAGATATGGAGGTAGTAATAATATGTAAAGTTTTCATAGGTTAACACCTATCAAATGTGATGACCAATTACTCAAAATGACTCAACCAATGGACATAAATTGTCCTTTGACTACCCTGAGTTAATATGATGAGCAAACTGAATTGACGAATACTACCTATTGGCCCATTTGCTTGAACTTCCACTCATCAGTGATGATTTAGGTACGTCTGCATGTACAGCCTGCCAATAATGGAGAGGAATTGCTGACAAAATAGTGCTTTTCTTTAGAAAACCAGTTTATATTTAATGGGACTTGAATATATTAAGCTCTTTCATCCTGGAAAAGTCAGTGCTTCTTTCTCATTTGAACAGGCATCTCTTCTGGCATTGGATTTGATTTTCTTTCCTTCAAACCCAGCAAAAATTGTAATGTGTGAATTTACTGTGCCTAATCCACAGACACAGAATACTAACATGGGCCACCATCCGACCAATAGTTTCTTTGCACAGTGAAGGAGCTTCAGGAGAGCTTGACTGTGGAATCTCCTGGTAATATCACATCTAATACCACATAGAAATCGTTGGTCAGCTAAAAATGCTATATTCTGCAAGTATGTATCTCCAGTAGAAAGAATCTATGAGAATAGTAGCCAAGGAATAGAAGAAAGAGTAGCATCATTCCAGATTGATCTGCTGAGTGACTACTGGTTTTATTGTTCTGTTGACAAGAATAGCATGTTCTTACCAGGAGACATAGAGTAAGGGCTCTCTTATTATAAATCATAGCTGGGTCGGGCATGGTAGCACACACCTTTCCCAGCATTCAGGAAGCAGAAGCAGGCAGATCTCTGTGAGTTCGAGGCCAGCCTGGTCTACATAGTGAGTTCCAGGCCAGCTGGGGCTACCGGGGAGACCTTGTCTCAAAAAAGGCCAAAAAAAAAAAAAAAAACCATAGCTGGGTGTCTGTATATAGTATTTGTGTTATAGCCAGATATACATCTGTGTGTATCTATATATCCATATACATTTATTCTATTGGAGTTGAAGTTTTTATGCCATGTCTAAACCACTCTGGGCAATTACTATATTGACAATGTAAACAGAGTGATGAACATACAAGGCACAGATTCTTGAGAACATCAGAAAACTTTTAGTTATGCCAAGGAGCATTAGGATAGAGACAGAAAGCCAGCAATATTATCTAGGATCATGAGAGCACTAACAGAATTACTAAAGGTCACTAATAGATGTATGGCTGTGGAAGTGAAATTATAGATGAAGAAACCTGACTTGAATCACATCTTTCTTTGTCTCATCCTTGACATATGCTGAAGCATTCTTGTATGTAATCTAGTGAAGACACTTACTAAACATTACTGTGACCAAAAGTATTTCAGTATTCTCAGAGTTTTATAAAGCAGAATAGAATGTACAGTACTTTAAGGCATGAACCAAATGCTTACCTCCCACTCCAAACTATTTGGTTATCTGATTAAAACACATAACCAAACTCAGTGCCTTGAAGATAGAATAAGGGTAATTCTCCCAAACATCTCTGGGTTTCATGTTATTAATCTCTCAGGCTCACCAAAAAAAAAAAAAAAAACTTGTAATTTATATAATAAAAAGGAAAGTTAGAAACTATGGTTCCAAGAACATGGGGTATGTGAGTTGGAGGAGGCCAGAAGATGATAGCTTGAACACAGACTTGGCAAAGAAATTGTGAAGACATTTAGCTCCTTGAATCATATGGTGATGTGAAGAGCACTGTCAAGTAATTCATTGTTGTGGGTGAAGATCCATTGCACTGAAGGCTGTGGATCATTACAATTTAGATAGTTACAATGCAGGTTAGCAGATATGGAAATTAAACTGATGTCATAAAGAATTTATACTTATAAATACACTACAATATTCAAAAACGAATTTGTTGGTTGGTGCTATTTTGAACCATTTCACATATCAAAGTCAGATTTCCTCATTTTAAAACAGAAGCAACAGCCCCACAGAGTGGTTCTGCTTGTTAATGATGTGAAGGTACTTTAGGAGGCTATGAAGTACAGTGTAAATGTACAGTAATAACAGTAAAAAAACCACTACAGAGAATCATCCCCATTTTTTCTAAATAATGTATTTTCTCAGGATACTGGCTAGAAAGCAGGTGACTTTACAGAGTCAAATTAAAATCTCTAAAATTCAGATCTCTTGAAAAATAAAGTAAATGAAACAAACACAGCCCTGAAACTCAAGGGAAAGGGGATAGTTCAGGCTGTTATTAATTTTTTTTCAATAATTATTATTTTGGGACTGGTGTGATGGCTCAGCAGTTAAGAGCACTGGCTGTTCTTACAGAGCACCTGGGTTCTGCTCCCAGCACCCACAAGGTGGCTAACAACCCTCTGTAGTTTCAGTTACAGGGGGATCTGACCCCATCTTCTGACTTCTGCCAGCATTGCACAACAGTGCACTTACACACAGGTGCAGGCAACACACTCATACACACAGAATAAAAATAATAAGTAAAATATCTTTTTAAAATGATCATTTTGCAAGCCAGGTGTGGTGGCGCACTTGGGAGGCAGAGGCAGGTGGATCTCTGTGAGTTCAAGGCCTGGTCTACATAGTGAGTTCCAGGACAGCTGGGGCTACAGGGAGATCCTGTTTCAAAAAGACCAAAAAAAAAAAAAAAAAAAAAGATCATTTTGCCTAACTTTAAAACAAGCGTCTAGAGGCTTCTAATATAATGCTATCACCACTAGAGAAGACCAGAATTAATGAGTTGATACCATTTGTGTATTTTGCTATGCTAGAGATTTTATTCAATTAATTTATTAGTATTACCAATCACACATAAACTTATCTTTTTCCATAAATTTGTGAATTTCTATTAAACATACTAACTACTTAAGTAATAACTTGAAATACATTTCATCAAATAAATTTAGAAGCAGCCTTATTGCTTAGTCACAGCTAATTAATTCTAATTATTTCTGCATTTACTGGACCTTGATGACAACAGGAGGGACAACTATCACTTAATTCTAAAATAAGCAGAAAAATATAAACAATAGTTGATGTTTTGATATCACATGGAAAACATCACCACTACCATTAACTATGATAGTACTAATAAAATCAAGTCAATATTTATTAAAAGGCTGTTCTAAACTTGGAGTGCTCTTAAGTACCTTATCTGACAACTTCATTTAACTTTATACTTCAGATACTTATTATTTACAAAATGTCTAAGCAAAGATGGAAATACAGAAATTCCTTCTTTTATCAGGATACCTTAATGGAATCAAGATAATTAGGTTGGTCAAATGCTTCTGTTGTTGTTGCTCTTCCTACAATCACATTTCATCTGTTCTTAGTGTCTAAGAGCTTGTCTTAATATTTTCTCCACAATATATACTTTGTATTCATACTGCTTTTGTTTTCAAATTTAAGTTTGTTCAATAAGAATAGAAAAGAGATGAAATAGAAATATTACAGTTAAGATTTTTTGTTAAAACTCAACATTCTATTTAAATTTTTTTCTTGTTTTTTTTGTGTGTTGTACTTTTGGCTTATGTTGGTTCATCTTCTCAGTCTCCCTCATCTTCACCCACTTCTTCATCTTCCCCTTTCTCTTCTGCATCTTCTTCCATTTCGTCCTCTTCTTCCTCCTCCTCCTCTTCCTCTTCTTCTTCACATTTCTTTTTCTTATCTGCTACAGGTTCTTTACTTCTAAGAATCATCTGTTTTTCCAAAAAGACATCTGGAAACTGAGATTGTACTATGAAAACAATTATGACACATAGTATAAAACATAATGTTCTCAGTAATAAAATAATCATGCACAGTGGGTCACACACAATTGGGCGAGGCACTTCCCAAGGTGGATACCAAAATTGGTAATCTGTAAATAAAGAAGTAATTAAAAGCTGGATTTCATATAGTGTGGTTAAATTACTCAAGAAATAAAGAACAGCAATACATACACATGGCTTGGTCGCGATCTGCATTACCTGGAAAGAAAAATAAAGACTATAAAGAATTACATAAAAATTTTCTACCTCTGTAAGTATTTTCCCAGTAACAGTGTTACCATTCTTCACATTCTGAGGCATCATGTCATGATCTTTGCTGTTCCCCTTCCAACTAGCACTCAAGCATTAACTACATGATACTCTCTTTTAGTAAATGTCAGTCTGGTTGTCTAGAGAATGTCCATGTGGAGCTTGGGAGATGTGGATTCTAATAATTGTTCTGTTACTCTAGCTCCATGATTTCACTTCTATGCTCTAAAGCTCCCTCTCACTCTGATAACCTACAACTCTGCAACATCTCTTATTTCTCCCCCTAGATGACTCCATGTTAACATGATAGGTTTACATATTTTCTCATTTAATTCTTATTATTTGGCTTTCAGTTGCTTTTCGCTTCCAAGATGCAGAGTTAAGTCTCTTATATGAATGCCTGACATTCATTGCTTTTAGCTATATGTTCAATGAGAACATAACACTTTTCCAGAAACAAATTCCTTTTCATTTCCTTAACTAGGTAGAGAGGATCAGATAGTCATTCTTGATTTCTACTAAGAGGATAAAGGAGTGTATACCTGTAGAAAGCTAGTCCCAACATAACTTTTTGTGCATTGGTATTATTTCTAGGGAGAAGATTTAGAATTTATTTTTTAAGCACCTCAGAGATGAACTGAACTCCTTTTGTACTTTTAAGGTTATTTTGGCTGTTATTGGTTTTATTTTATATCTTATATAATGATTCCTACATCAGAGTGTTTTTCAAAAAAGACACTGTAGTCTGTAGGTTCTCTTCACACAGTATATGGGTTTCTACTGATACTTTAATGGAAATAATAATGTTATAGTGCATTCTTCCTTGGCGCCTGTCTTTATTTATCACCACTAGTTTTCATTTATTACATTCTTTTTATAGTTGTATTTGATTCTGCCTTCTCGGAATGGCAAAGATTTTAAAAAAACAAATGACAAATGCTGGTTGAAGTGCAAACTGGTGCAGTCACATAGAAATCAGTGTGGAGATGCCTCAAAAAGCTTGAAATTGATCTACTATAGAACCCAGGCATACCACTCTTGTGCATATATCCCAAAGACTCCATACCCTACTCCAGAAATACCTGTTCATCCATGTCCATTGCTGCCCTTTTATGATAGTCATAAATTGCAAACAACTAAATGTCCATAAACTGATAAATGGATAAATGAAGATGTGGTACATATATACAATGAAATATTATTCAGCTCTTAATAAACCAAAATTATGAAGTTTGTAGGTAGATGGATGGGACTGATTAAATCTTCAGACATTTAAATATATACCTATTGTTTATCAACTTCTCAAAACAAAGTTCTATTTTTTATTTATATGAATGTGTGTATGTGTGTGTGCTGGAGTCCAGCTCCAGCTGAGTCTGGGGCCTGAAGGGGTGAAGGTAACTGCAATGGTAGAAATGAATATACCAGAAACCACAATTGCAGTTCTCAGTAGAGGCTGTTGACTGACGCTCTTGGGGGAGGTCAGCCCGAATGTCTTTTACTTCTCTTCTTCTTTTTCTGTTCTGAAAGCAGCTTTCTACAACCTTTATTTATAATTAGAAAGCTTACAATAGCAGTAAAGCATCAGACCATAAATCAAACCATAAATCAAACCAAGACAGCCTGCCCCCATTTGCCCTTTAATTCTTTGAATTTAATATTTACAGGTAGGCATGTATATTTGAGAGAATTATTTTTCTCATGGGAATGGGAATAACTAACTCTTTATATATTGTCTAACCAATAATCCAATTTATCTTTTTCCTCTCCCTTTTGCTATTTCTTCCTGAACATTTTGTACTCTTTGAGTCATATGATTATTTTTTCTGTTCTAATATCTTTTATTATTTTGTTGTCATTTATCTTTAAAGGCTTTTTGAATCACTTTTAGTCTTTGTAAAAGAATAGGCAATTTTTCTTCAGAGGTCATGCACCACCAGCTTTTTACTGACTTAGCTAATCTTTCTATCCAAGAAGGAGTTTCCCTAAGCCAAATAGTTTTTGCTTATACCAAACTTTAGTCTCAATAGTTCCCCGTTTAGGGTTAAAGTCATAAACTCCCGTAAAAGGCAGCAGGGCATCTATTGTATGCTAAATTTTCCTTTTGGAGGAAACCAAGCCTCATTATTAATCACAAATGCAGGTCCAAACGAGATCATAGTCACAGGAGGAAGTCGTCTATCCTATTACTTTCATTTTGTTTCAGTAACATAATAATTCTGCTAAAGGCAGAGAATTCCCTGGTTTGGTTTCCCATTCCATCATCAGAGTTGGTTATCAGAATACTTAAAGAAGAGAAAGTTATACAAATCAGAAAAAACAGGAGTAATTGCGGAAGGGATATGCACCAAAAGAGTAGCAGTCATCGGCGTACAGCTGGAACTTTGTCAAACAGCACACTTGTCAAGAACCACGAAACACTTGGAGCCAAAATATTGCTCCAATGTGTCATCAAAATGTTACAATATGATCCGGCTGGAACTTTGTCAAACAGCACTCTTGCCAAGAACCATGGAACTCTTGGAGCCAGCATGTGTGCACATGCATGCATGTGTCTGTGGAAGTGGGAAGAGGGTGTTGGATCCTTTGGAGCTAGAGTTATTGGCATTTGTTATCTGTCCTACATGGATGCTGGGAACCAAACCCGGGTCCTCTGGAAGAGCAGCAAGTACTCTTAACAGCTGAGTCGTCTCTCCAGCTCATGTTTATCATCTTTTAAGATATATGTTTGGCCCCTGGATATAAATGATAGAAAAATATTAATTTATATCTTTCTCCTCCCAAGTTTTATTAGTTGTATCATTTTTATTTTTTATCACTTTTTTATTAGAAAAGTTTGTTCTTTCACAATTTCATACATGTACCCATGTATTTATTATACCATTTTTGTCTTGTTAAATTTGCCTTATTTACATTTTGTTTGATAACTGTAATCATCAGATTTGATTTAGTCTATTAATTAGGATTTAGTTCTTACAAATATTTCTTTCACTCCAGTTTTTCCATTTAACTTTTGGTGAATGTCATCTTCTAGTCTGTTGAGGAAGTGCTCCTGTGAACTCTGCACTGGAAGTGACTTCATGTTCCCAGAACAATTGTCTATTTGTCTGTGCTTGATTAATAAGTTTGGCTACATGTAAACTGTTGAGTGGCAAACTACAGATCAAAGAAAAATACTGTCTCTTAGAACTGAATGTTATAGTAGAGAAATTTGAGGGCAAATAAAAATTTTCCCCTTATGGGAGATTGTCAATAGCCAACGTGCAAATTGCTACCATACCAGTATAAAGTGAATTCTATATTGTAGAGCTGAAATCAGAAACCACAGTTTTATGGATTCATTCTTCGGTGTGACTTCAGACTAAACTTTTCCAATGATTAAAACATAAGTAAAATTTGGAAGTTGTAAAAGAATTGGAAATCCTAATTCTGTAGTTATGGTTACAGGTCAGAAAGAAACAGGGAATTCAAGAGTCACAGTAGTTATTTGTTAAACAGAGAACCATTTTTGGTTTTGTCATGGTTTCTTTGCCTTTGGTAGCAACTTACCCAGACTTCGCTTCCCTAGTGTTTATAGTATTCTTATAAAGCTGCATTCTCAAGCTGAGCGTGGTGGCACACACCTTTAATCCCAGAACTCTGGAGGTAGAGGCCAGCTGAGGTTACGGGGAGCCCTTGTCTCAAAAAAGAACTAACTAACTAACTAACTAACTAACTAACTAACTAAATAAATAAATAACTAACTAAATAAATAAATAAATGAATGAATAAATAAATGTGGGGGCCAGAGGTCAGGGGCGAGGGAAGAAGGTGCGTAGAGGAAATGGCCGGGGTGTGACCAGACTTGTTTGGAGCCTAGAGGAAGTGGCTGAGGCACGGCCAGACTTGTTTTGAAGAATCGCTAATTGGCTCCTGTCATTTCTGTGCATCTTGGCAGCAGTGATCACTTCGTGAACGCTATGCTGTGCTATGGAGAGGAGAGTGCATGCTCAAGTTCACCTTTAACATGATTGGACTCTTGGTTGGGGAGGGGATCTTCCTTTGTGGTTTTTGCCTTCATAAGCCCTGTAACGCCTGCAATAAACGAGTTCCTGCTTGACTGGCTCCCTGTTGAGTCTGATTGTCTCCTCCGGAGGCTGCGGGTAAGGGGCGGACAGCTCACCTCCCTTTCCCCAGCTCCTGTGTCGGGGCAGGATCCCCGACAAATAAATAAATAAATAAATAACTCAATCCCTAGTTTTAGTTTCTTTTGTTATTTTGCTTCTGTTCTTCAGATCCAATCCTACCACTGTTTACACTGAATTCGATTTATCAATATATATTTGCAATGTTTTCTTTGGCTTTTAAGTCTTTTTATTTCCTTTCTCAATCAGGACCCACACAGTCACTGTGCCTTCCAGCATCTTGGTTTCTCAAGCTATTTTCAAAGAGATTTCCACACCTGTGTTGGGTTTATAGTAGTCCTTTTTAGCTACTATTTCTCCCTGTTGAACAAAGATTGGCAGTTATAAATCTGTCAAAATAGAGTTTTGTTTGCTCAGGAAAAACTTCTTACTGTAAACATATTTTCTATGTGATTTCTTTTTTTTTTTGTTTTGTTTTGTTTTGTTTTTTTGAGACAGGGTCTCCCTGTAGGCCCAGCTGTCCTGGAACTCAGTATGTAGATCAGGCTGGCCTCAAACTCACCAAGATCTGCTTGCCTCTGCCTCCCAAGTGCTGGGATTAAAGGCATGTGCCACCATGCCCAGCAATTTCTTATTTGGCCTATGTATTGGTTTCCTGTAAATTTTTTTCCCCACATTTCTGGAAGCTCGAAGTATGAAATGAGGAATAAACAGGGCCATATAGAACCACAAGCCAGAATACCCTATTGGTATAGAGCCATGATACCAATTATATAGAATCACAGTACCAATACCCTATTGGCATTTTAAATGAGGATCATCATTATAACTTACATTGCTTTCATCTATATGTGAATAGTGAAAACTGGCAATTCTCAGAGCAATTTTCCAGTTCAGGAAATTGGTTCCATATTTAGTCAGTTTATTTCTGTACCAGTGATAGCTTCTGTCTTTTGAGGTCCCTGGGATCAGACCCAGAATCTTCAGCATACTAGGCAAGTACTGCACCACTGAGCTATCCTTCCCCCCATCCCCTGCTAGCTGCCGGCTGTCGCTTATTTCTTAGTTTCTTTCCTCTGAGGGGCAGTGCTTTTTTTCAGCCTCCACTTTCTTTTCTTTCATTCTTTTTTATTTCTGTTTCTCGAGGCCTTCTCCCCGACACTTTTCAACTCAAATGAGAAAAGGCATACAATAATCACCAATAGATTTCGTTGTGTCCTATAGGCTTCTTGAGGCTTTCTTGGATTTTTTTTATTAAATATTTTTTTTCTCTCTTTAGAGACAGTGTTCCATTTGTTAGTCTCCCTCCAGATGGACAGACTCTTCTGTCACCTCTAGTTTGCCATTGAAACTGTCTGGGTCTTGTTATCATTGTTGTTACTGAATTTCTCAAATTTCCATTTAGCTATTTTTTATATATTTTATATTTATTGACTGATGGCTTCTTCACTTTTATTTCAAGTGTTGTATCTAATAACTCCAATATCTTCTAGTGAAACTGTCCATTTGTGTGTGTGTTTGTTTTGGATTTTTTTTCCACCAAAGCATAATATTCTATGAATTTGTTGCTTGAAATATTCTTCTAAGTATTGTATATTCTAACTATAATTAACCTTTGGAGTAGAAGCTCTTACATTTGGAAGGAGTAAAAGAAAAGTTAATAACACACTGCCTACATTTTATTCCTTGAATATTTCGGGAATTTCAGGGTCTTGTGCTAGGGAAAGGGAACAGTGGGGGAAAAAAACTATTAAATGTGTGTTTTTTACTGTTTCTTTTTATAAATATTCTGGAATATTCTTTTCTTTAATGCAGCCAGCGTCAAACTGGCTATAATTTGTGGAGTTAGCTGTGAAGCTTTTTCAGGGAATAACTTCATTCTGATATTCTTGTATTTTCTTAGGGGCAAGAAAAGGGCAAAGGAGAACGGAGATGGCTCTACAGTTTAGAAAGACCCAAAGGTGTACTGATTCAACCCTCCTCTGATGACATAATGCTACTAGAGCCAGAAGAGCAAGATTAACATCACAATGAAACTGATGTTCAGCCCCTTCAGTTTTCTTAGTCTTATGCATTACAGATTTTTCTCTTTTCATGTTAAAATCATGTTCTTTATCTTACTGCATAGATGATCTGTGCATTTGTCATGAGTGCCACATCGAGTACAAAATGGTCCTGCTTGATAAGGCCTTCTTGTTAGAGTTCCTCTATGAAAAAGCAGAAGGGAAGAAAAGACAAGTTTTTATGACATTTAAATACTATTGTTTTCAAGTTTAACTATTTTAAGGTGATTTATTTAAGAAAATAGACTCAAGGAAGTACTCAGGTTAAGGACATAAGCTTCTATTTCTACTACCTTAAAACTCTGTCTCTTCTGAAATGAATTCCTATAACCTTGAAACAGATATCACAATTTAAATGTTTTTTTTTTGTTGTTGTTGTTGTTGTTGTTGTTTTTTAAGTTTCTTTCACTTAATTTTTAGCAAAATGCAGCAGTTAAGAACACTGACTGTTCTTGCAGAAGACCCAGGTTCGAATCAGAGCACCTGCATGGCAGCTAACAACTGTGCTCCAGTTCCGGGGAATCTGACAGCTTCCTCTGTCTTCCATGGGCATTGCATGACACAGGTGCACTTACTTATGTGCAGGTAATACACGCATACACAAAAATAAAAATAATAAATAAAATATTAAAAAGAAAAGAAAATACATATTATGGAAAGTTTTATAGTTACTTTCTTTCTGGTTAGCACTGACGTATAAAAAATTCTATGGAATGTTGCATTAATTACTTGAGGAGTGAGTCTGAAATGCCTACTGTCCCAAAGCTCCA